CCCGTAGCGCGGCAACGGGGGAACAATGGAGGAATGCAAGAATTTGTCCCCTTACAGAAACCCCTCAAGTCTCGACAAGTACAGATCCAAAGCCGCGGCCCCGCGTGCTTTCGAGCCTAAAGAACAGAAGGTCAGTCGTTGCACGCCATGAAATCTAGTACGGGAAGGAGTCGGCGCAGCCCCGGGCGCGTTTTTGCTTTCACAGTGGTAAGAGGGTTTCCCCTTAATTGAGCCAGGTGCCTGCGAGATATCAACCGCCCCGCAGATGGGGCACCTATCGGTATATGAATGCCCCATAGTGTCCGGGACGGGCGGGGCGAGGGGGCTTCCGGGGCGGCAGCCACCTGGCCCGGCCCCCTCCGGCCCCGCCCGCTTCTGCTCGGTGCGGGTGATTCACTCCCTCCTTCGCCCCGGGGGCCCCCTTCCCGGCCAGACGGCGGGCAAGACGGGCTGGGTGTACAGTGTCCTCGAACCCGCCAGCAAGCTAGTAGATTCTCCGCGGTCCCAGAGACTCCGGCCCACGCCATGGCGGACTCCGAGCGCTTCTCGGCCCCCGGCTGTTGGGCCGCCTGCACCACTTTCTCGCGCACCCGAAAGGGAATTCTCCTGTTAGCTGAGATTGTGAGCGTGCCGGGACAGGCGGGTGGGCGGAGGCGCTGTGGCGGGGGCGGGGGGGGGGCACTGGACCACGCGGAACTGCATGGGCTGGGGTAAGGCAGGCATGTGGTCGGGGCGCTGGGCAGAGGGGCGCAGGTGAGTGGGATCGTGCTAGAGGCCTGCAACTCGGGGCGCAGGGCGAGCCGGTGGGGTTTGACTAAGGTGGTCGAGAACTGGTGGCCCACGGGGCATAGCAAGTAGCCCGTAATGCATATAGGAGGTTTCGTGGGGGGAGCCCGCATGGACTCATCCGCGGAGGCATAGAAAGGGTCTTGGGGTCCCGGGAGGTGGGGGCCTCCCGTGGCAGGGCGTGGCGCGGCCTGGGCACTGGCTGGCGGGCTGGCAGCGCGCCCAGGGGCGGGGCCTGTTGGGGAGCGGCCCCGCGCTAGTCCCAAAGGGTAGGGCGCTCCACCCTTCGCCAGTTCTTCCTCGCCCTTCTGGGATCCGGCGGGAGGTCCTTAGCTCTTCCAGCCGTTTGGGAACCTGTAGTTTCCCC